GACGTTGGGCCCAAGGGGGGTTGAATGTGAGATCCTACATCGATCGGAGAGGGGAACAAAACATTCCTTATAAGGGTGTGGAAACCTTTACCTAGCAGACGTATTTTAAAACCTTGAGGGGAAGCCTAGAAGGGAAAGTCAAAAGAGGATAATATCTATTAGCAGTGGGCTTGGGCCGTTACGGGCCGTTACAAGAGTTTTTGAGGAAGGCAAGGAAAAAAAGTTGCATAATTTCTATATAGCATAGGAACAATCTCGATTATGTGGGGGCCCTATGCCTTTCAAGTTTGAGAATGCATAGTTGGTTGATTTTATTGAGTGGAGTCCTATTGATCAAGGCAAGCTGCCTCCCTTGAGGTCGATTTTATCGAAGAAAAGGTGGGGAAGGCTATACAACACCTAAGCTCTGACAAAACTCCAAGACCAGATGGTTTTACCTTAGAATTTTTAAAAAAATGTTGGAACATTTTAAGAGATTTGAAGATGCGCTTTGAGAGTTGGTTAGATTTGGTTTTTCGTAATGGGGGGTTTGTATATTGAACTTTTATAATTACTAGTGTGAGACCCCACATTAGTTGGGGAGGAGAACGAAACATTCTTTAGAAGGGCGTGGAAACCTCTCCCTTGCAAACACGTTTTAAAAACCTTGAGGGAAAGCCTGAAAGGGAAAGCCCAAAGAGAACAATATCTATAGCGGTGGGCTTGGGCTATTACAAATGGTATTAGAGCCAAATACCGGACATACAAATGGTATTAGAGCCAAATACCGAACGAGGTGGTGTGCCAGCAAGGACGCTAGGGGGCAGATTGGGAGGTCCCACATCAATTGGAGAAGGGAACGAGTGTCAGCAAGGATGCAGGGCTCCGAATTGGGGTGGGGGAGGAGAACGAAACATTCTTTATAAGGGTGTGGAAATCTCTCCTTAGTAGACGCGTTTTAAAAACCTTGAGGGAAAGCCCAAAATGGACAATATCTGCTAGTGGTGGGCTTGAGCGGTTACAACTAGCTTTGTCTCATTCTTTCGGATGGGGTCCTTTCTTGTATTTAGTGTTCGAGCTTTATTAGTTGCTTTGTTTTTTTTTTTTTGCATGAACTTGTACATTCTTTTATATTTCTCGAGTTTCATATATATATATATAAGAATACATTTTTCAACATTGCAGGTGCGCATTCCTCAATTGCAGAGCTGACAGATTTTATTTCTGCTGCTCAAATTTCAAAGGCTGCAGATGTTCTTCTCGGTGATCTCCCGGATAGGGTAACTTTTTCTATCCTATCAAATTCTTTGTTTTAAAGCTCTCCAGACATTATAACAAAAAAAGAAACCGCTTAAACGTCTCGCTGAAATTAATAGAGACCGTATCACATCGATAATTTCATTTCAATAGAACATATTTTTGCTTGATTATTTGAACAGCCGAAGCCGAAGAATCTCGATGGCTGCAGTAAACTCAAAAAAAGAAGGCATTATGATTACAAGGCATGGAAAAAGAAAAAACCGAAATGCTTTGATGACGACGACGAGACGATTCGTTTGCCAAATCCAATGCTCGGGTTTGGGGTACCCAATGAACTGTGTCCTACAGTTCAGAGAAAGCTTCCAGAGGCAGCCATTGGACCTCCCTACTTTTACTACGAAAATGTGGCACTCGCTCCAAAAGGAGTGTGGAATACGATTTCCCGCTTCTTATATGATGTCGAACCCGAATTTGTTGATTCCAAACATTTCTGTGCTGCTGCAAGAAAAAGAGGCTATGTTCATAATCTCCCAATACATAACAGATTTCCTCTCCTCCCAATGCCTCCTCACACTATACATGAAGCATTCCCTTTAACAAGGAAGTGGTGGCCTTCATGGGATACTAGAACACAATTAAATTGTTTACAAACTTGCATTGGAAGCGCTCGACTGACCGACAGAATTCGCAAAGCTCTTGAAGATTACGATAGCGAACGTGATCCACCATTGACCGTGCAAAAGTTTGTCTTAGATCAATGTCGGAAATGGAATTTGGTTTGGGTTGGAAAAAATAAGGTCGCCCCGCTCGAGCCTGATGAAGTCGAAATGCTTCTCGGATTCCCCAAGAACCATACTAGAGGAGGTGGAATCAGTAGAACAGACAGATACAAGTCTCTTGGCAATTCATTCCAGGTACCTATCTCTTCATTCTCTTCTTTGTCTTATCATCTTGGATCGCTCTGAATTTCCTTTCAAATATTATTGATTGCTCAGTGCTCGAACTGCATCGGTATTATTATTATTTTGGTTAAGATACCGCTTTGGTCCCAATACTCTGGTACTTGTTCTGTTTTTGTTTTTGTACTTTCAAATGTCCAAATATACGTTCAATAAATCTTAAAATTAGTCTCCGTATTAGCTAAATGTTACCTTTTCCAAAGAAAGGAAGTCGTGAAAAACGTTGGGACTACTTACTAACTATAAGGACTAGTTTTAAGATTTAATGATTGCTCTGAATTGCCTTTCGAATATTATTGATTGCTCAGTGCTCGAACTGCATCGGTATTATTATGATTTTGGTTAAGATACCGTTTTGGTCCCAATACTTCGATACTTGTTCTGTTTTAGTTTTTGTACTTTCAGATGTCCAAATATACGTTAAATAAATCTTAAAATTAGTCTCTGTATTAGCTAAAACGTTGCCTTTTCCAAAAAAAAAACGTAGGGACTAACAATAAGGACTAGTTTTAAGATTTAACGAACGACATTTGATAGTATAAGGATCAAAATGGATTGAGACCGAAAGGACGGAGACCAAATGGATATCTTAACCAATATTTTTTTTATAATTGGGTATCAAACAGAGATCACTTCTGGAGTTACATTGAACTCATGGCCTGCTCCTGTCCCACTAGGCTTGGTGGGAGGCTTTGCCCACGACCAGCCAAGCAAGGATTTCAAACGACCAAGTCTTCCACGGTTTAGGATGTTTTGGTTGTGTGATATCTTACAAGGTATTTGGCTACAACTTTTGTTGTTTCAGGTCGACACGGTGGCGTACCATCTCTCGGTCTTGAAGGACATGTTCCCAGGTGGAATCAACCTCCTGTCTCTCTTTTCTGGTATCGGAGGTGCAGAAGTGGCACTTCATCGTCTAGGCATCCCTCTTAAAAACGTTGTCTCGGTCGATATTTCAGAAGTGAACCGAAACATTGTGCGAAGTTGGTGGGAGCAAACGAACCAAAAAGGGACTTTGATTGATCTTGCTGATGTGCAAGAGCTAGATGCAGATAGGTTACAATATTATATGAACCTATTTGGAGGTTTCGACCTCGTGGTCGGAGGGAGCCCTTGTAATAACCTTACAGGTAGCAATAGGTACACTCGGGACGGACTCGAAGGCAAAGAATCCATCTTGTTTTACGACTACTTTAGAATCTTAGACTTGGTCAAGTGTATAGCCACCAAAACTGAATAATTTGATTGTACAGCAAGCTACTCCCATCTTTCAACGGTCAAAAAACATGCTATTTTATAGAACAAAGGTAACCTTGTTTCAGTAAATAATTAACTGTTGGAAGATGAGGCTTTAATCCCATCATTGTTTGGCCATTGAAGGCTGCTGTATTGTTATCTCTACATTTATTTTTATACAACAATTTTATGCTTTCATTACATTATATTAATATATATATATATATATAGTTTTATATTAATATACCGTGTCGTGTTATGAATTTAATTTATTTTTGTGGTTTCGGATCTTCGCAACGGAGCTTGTACTACTTATTTATTTTAAGATTACATTACATTGTGGTTGAAGGTTACAACTTTAGCGGTATAAAGTCATGTTGTAAGTAAATCATCGCACCTACGGTCCAACCAATTGGGAGAGAATCAATAGATTCCTTTTCGGGAGCGATTCATCTTTCCCGAACGTAGCATACAACTCTTTGTTGTACTGCGCTCTCCAAGTGTGCTTGTTTCCCCTTCTTCCTTACCATGTCAAGTTTTTGTGAAATAACTCCGATGAGAAGAAAAAAGGTGTTAAGAAACCCTCCTGGCCCAACTCTCCTGATCTCCGTGGAAGAAAGGAAAAAGAATTTCACGTTCTTTCTTTCACTTTCGAGAAGGGAGGATTAAGAAAGTTCTATTGATCGGAGTTTCTCCAAACCTCCGGGAAAAGTATGAAAAAAAAGGCTCGAATGGTACGATCCCTCTGTCACCCCATAATGAAAGAAGCGATCTCGTAGCAGAATGAAAGGGGTAATCTCGTAATTCTTGGTCTGTGAAGATACGTTGTTAGATGCTCCATTTTATTTACAATTGTATGTAGTTTATAGAATGCTTAGCATGATTTTTCTTATAATTAAAAAAATAAATAAAAATTTAAAATAAATTGAATACCCAAAAAAAATGTAAAAAGTGATTTTAATTTAGGAGCATTAATGATATATTTAAAATTTTATAGGTATTTTTTTATTTTTTTTAATAGTAAAGAATATTAATGAAAATTTTCAAGCAATTTGAAAGTAGCTCTTAAAATTTTAAAGATATTTTAAAATAAAGACGATTTTCGGCTTTTTTTAAGATGGGAATGCTACTTTCGCTCGAACTCAAGAACTAAACTTAAGTCATTGCTCATTCCCGCTCATGCTTGCTATAACAATTCCTTACGAGAGGCTCTACTAGACCTGTCTAAAAGAAGAAAAGATGCACGAGCCACTGCTTCCTCATACACTATTAGAATCTCGTACTTGGCTACCCAGCGTTTACCGTGAGCACGATAACTGGTACACCACAGGTGCGTCATTCTCGGTCCTCTCGTACGATAGAGGAAGAATTTGAGAATCGTGAAACGTATACTCTTTGATTAACGAGTTTTTTTTTTGGTAAGGAGCCAGATCGGTGGATTTTGCCAAATTAATAAAAATAAAATATTTTAACTTTGAATGAACCAGAGTTGAGAATAGCTTAACCATGGTTAGAGTGAACGCGGTGGCTGCTGCCAGACGTCCGGTTTCTATAAATAGCAGTCGATTCCCCAATTTTGGTTCTCCCGTCTCTCTACGCTTCTGTGTCATTGGAAGCGTGGTAGAGAGAGAGAGATAGAGCGACAACGCATCGCTATCTCTTCGTTATTTAGATTCGTTTTCATCCACCCGGCCTCATATTTCTTAGGTAATGATTCGTTATTGCCGAATTTCTTTTCTTAATTCGCAGATCTAGCGGTTTTCGCTTCCTTCTTGGTGCTGTTTTGATTGTTTAGGGTTGCGTTTTTTCTGGGGTTTTTGTTCGGGAAGTTCATTTGTTGAGTCTCGTGGAAGGGGTGAATCATGTTGCATGTGCTGTTTTGTTGTTCACTTGTAATGAGTTCTGGAGAATTTTAGTCCTTGTATCCGTTTTGCGTTCATTTTCGTCTTCATTTCTAGAATTTGGCATGTTCTGTAGGTTTTCATGTGATTAGATTTCTCTTTTCAAGCCTCAACCCGTTTTAGGGCTTGGCTGAGGCCCCGAGACAGGTTGATTTCGAATCCTTTTGGTTCTCCCTGTGTTTTCTTTTGTGCATTAGCTCAGATTAAGGATTGAGCCTTTTCTAGGTTTTTTTTTTTTTTTTTTTTTAAGAAAATGGTTTTTCTTTTCTGAATTGCCATCGGGAGAACAGTATGGTTGATTTTGCAGACTCGATGGTTATATCCTCTGGTAACATAGTGATTGTTGGTTATGGTGGCCGATGGTGATTGTTCGAACTCTTGTAATCGTACAGTTAGTTCAAAAGTTCTCCAATAATTCGGGCAAGCAAGTTTTTCTTTTTTTGGTAGTTGTGGTTTGGTATTATTAACGTGCATAGTTATGAAGAAAGTAAATTTTCATAGTTGTCTATATGAAGTGTGTACGGTTTTCTCAACTTATTCTTTGCCTTTTTCTTTTCAGTCTTTGAGTTATATTTTCCGTTTCCTTGTTATGGCGGCCACTGCAACTGCTGTCTCTGTTGAACCACGATATGCACCCGAGGATCCAACCCTCCCCAAACCATGGAAAGGTTTAGTTGATGGGAAGACTGGGTATCTTTACTTTTGGAATCCAGAAACTAATGCCACCCAATACGAGAGACCTGTGCCTGCTGCTCCCCTGAATTCATCAATAGGGTCTATTAGTTCTTCGGTTCAAATTCAAAAGCAAGCCCCAGGCCACTCTTATTATAACAATTTCAATGAAAACAATGATAAGTACGGAAGAAGTGTCCATGAGGCACCGAAACACGAGGTAGAGTCCAATATTAGTTCTCTTTTTTATTCTATTAAAAAAGAAAATATTAATTTGTTAGAATCTTCTTCCTCCATGATCCTTCTGGTACTGAAACTTTTGTGGCCACTAGGACCAACTCTTTTTTTTTTTTGTTTTTGTTTAATGTTTTTCCATTTTTTTCCCTTGGGCTTCCTTCTCTTGGTATCAAAATTAAATTTCTATGGGAAATTGGCCTTACAGTGCTTTTGGTTTACGTTTTGTTCAAATTTTTATTTGTTTATTTATTTTGCTTTATAACAAGAGATGTCATCATTTTTTTTTTTTTTTTTTTTTTTTTTTTGCTTCTGTATTCTGATTCCAACTTGCATACTAATGTCCTTAGAATATCTTTGTATGGTTGAATATTATTATTCAATAAATCAAGTGAAGTTTATAAATTTGAGGACTTGAAAAGTTCTGCTCAACTCATTTCTTGGAATGATTTTGGATGTCATTTTGGCTCTTTAACACAAAACAAATTCGGGCAAGCCTATTAGATTGAATGTGTAATGAGTATTATGTATTAAATCATATGATTGATGTGACCCAATTTTACTTCAGGTAGCAAGGAGTGAGACATTTCATTCAAAAGGTACCTCAAATGGAACACCTAGTACTGGGCATGGAGGAACACAGTTGAAAGTGCATAGACCATCAGATGCAGGAAGTGGTTTATCTGCTGAGGCTTATCGTCAACGACATGAAATAACTTTTTCGGTGAATGCTAATTTCAAAGTCTTTTAAAGTAGCCACTAAAATTTGTACTTATTTTTTCTTAGAGCTGATTAGATTTTTCTGCTTGTTTTTTTTTTTAAATAATTTGTTTGATATTATCTTGATCATCTATCCTTATTTACACAAGCCAAATTTCTTGATGTTCATATATTAGTTATTTGAGTAAAATTAACCGTTCTGTTAATTCTTTTCATAGGGAGACAATGTGCCACTGCCATTTACATCATTTGAAGCCACTGGTTTCCCACCTGAGATTCTTAGGGAGGTACTTTCCACTTTGCTCTATGCCTTTGTTGATAAATCTTTGTAGAATATCCACAGCTGACAATTCAGTAGGAATGTTCAGCAATCTAAAACAAATATTTCTGCTCAAAGTTAAGTGGTTACTGGGGTCATGTTAATTTTTTTCGTCACCTGTACTTTTTTTGTCGCAGGTGCGATATTTGCTCCTGGGAGGAGCTAATGTCGTACGCTGTGGGGCCCTCTTTGTTTGGGGGCTTTAATTTGGCGTGCCCTTTTATGGTGGACCAATTTGTGGGAAGGGCTTTCCGAATCACCCATATTTGCAGCCGGGACTGCCGTTGGTGATGATTCAGTCTTCCACTAAGTTCATACGAAAGAAGAGGCCTCCTCCTTCTGCTGCTTGCAATCAGCAAGCATTTGCCGCATGCATATGGGGGATGATGCTTCTTCTGGAGTTAGTGTATTCTTCTAAAAATCGAAAAATGCAAAACCAACCAGATATTTTGAAGCCTCCTCTGCTTAATAGGGGTGACTTTTCCAGGTACATAATGCAGGGTTCTCTGCTCCAACTCCAATTCAAGCGCAGTCATGGCCAATTGCTCTTCAAAGTAGGGATATTGTAGCTATTGCTAAAACTGGCTCAGGGAAAACTCTTGGGTACTTAATACCAGGTTTTATTCATCTCAAGCGCATTCGAAATGATCCTAAGCTAGGTCCCACTGTTTTGGTGTTGTCGCCAACAAGGGAGCTGGCAACACAGATTCAAGATGAAGCTGTGAAATTTGCGAGGTCATCCAAAATCTCATGTGCGGTATGTTCATTCTATGCTAGTTTATCCATTTTCTCCTGGTTTTCATGCTGGCTAATTTCACGCCTAGAACGTATTGTACATATTGTTGTGCAGTGCACTGAATTGGCTTTAATTAAGTGCTTTCTCCAGAAAAAAAAGATTTTATAGTAATGACATGCTTTTCGAATCTCTTTAATAATAAGCAATACAATGTTAAATATTTGGAGGAACACTTTGGAACACGAACATGCTGCAATTTGTTTGATGCATTTCCTGTAGACCTGGTTCTAGAAGCACCCCATGATCTTGTTTGTCTTTAGCTTCTTTTTTACTCCTCTCTTATCAGTTTGTAACTGCTAAGCCTGCTGAAATGGGATTAATAATATTATATCCCTCTTTTGGACGCAAATTACTCAAATTCTCTTACTTGTGATTTGAAGTGTATATATGGAGGAGCACCAAAGGGTCCACAATTGAGGGATATTGACCGTGGAGTAGATATTGTCGTTGCAACTCCTGGTCGTTTGAATGATATTCTTGAGATGAGGAGAATCAGTCTCCATCAGGTTTCTTATCTTGTACTAGACGAGGCTGACCGAATGCTGGATATGGGATTCGAACCCCAGATAAGAAAGATCGTAAAGGAGGTTCCTGCTCGCCGGCAGACCCTAATGTACACAGCTACTTGGCCAAAAGAAGTCCGAAAAATTGCGTCAGACTTACTCGTTAATCCTATTCAAGTCAATATCGGTAATGTCGATGAGCTTGTTGCCAACAAGGCAATCACTCAGGTATGAACTTAACTGTACCTGGTTTCAATATTTGGGAACAGCTTTCTATTAGTCGACTTATTATCGATGAAACCGCTGCATTATTAGTATTTTCATATGTTCTTTAAATATAATTTGTGGGGATTTGTGCTTGAATTGGCTAAAATTTGAGAATTTTGACATCTATATTTCCTCGATCTACCTTGTAGCATATTGAAGCATTAGCGCCTTTGGAGAAGCATAGACGATTGGAGCAGATATTGAGATCTCAAGAACCAGGATCTAAAATAATAGTTTTCTGTTCTACAAAAAAAATGTGTGATCAACTTGCTCGCAACCTTACTCGCCAGTTCGGAGCTGCTGCAATCCATGGAGACAAATCCCAAGGCGAGAGAGATCACGTTCTCGGTCAATTTCGCACTGGGAGGACTCCCATACTCGTTGCTACTGATGTTGCAGCTCGTGGATTGGATATTAAAGATATCAGGTTTGCATTGATGTATATAGTTCATTTTCTATATATTTTTTAGGTTGATTGCAAAATGAATTATAATTTAGGCTTTCTATAATCAATAGCCGAACTGGTTCTATGCGTCGTATGATCGTATCTCGGTTGAAATGCCTACTTCATTACAGGGTTGTTATCAACTATGACTTCCCGACCGGAGTGGAGGATTATGTCCATAGGATTGGTCGAACCGGAAGAGCAGGTGCTACTGGTATTGCTTACACGTTCTTTGGCGAGCAGGACGCTAAGTATGCTTCAGATCTGATTAAAATTTTGGAGGGAGCTAACCAGCAAGTCCCATCGCAGCTTCGAGATATGGCTTCTCGAAGTTATGGAATGGCCAAGTTTAGGCGTTGGGGTTCTGGCTCTGACGGGGGTCGTGGTGGGCGCAATTTTTCGAGTTCTGGTGGGCGGGGTGGGCGTGGTTCGTCTTTCTTTTCTTCTGCCAAGCCCGAACGAGGTGGTGGTGGCTTTGACTCACGTGAGAGGTACTAAATTGTTTCGAGTACATCAGGGGAACAACTCTAAAGAAGGTCCTGGTGATGTTTTAATGGGTTCATTTTTTTTTCGTGACAGGTCTGATTTTGGATACAACCGTGCTCGCAGTCGGAGTCCTCCACGAGGTTTTCACAATCGTAACATTCCACCTCGGGGAAATGAAAATGGTAGTAAGAACGGTACTGCAAACTGGAGCCGAAGTCGAAGCCGAAGCCGAAGTCCTAACCGTTTCAACCGGGCTCCTGCAGTACGTGAACGTGAACGTGAACGTGAACGGTCTCCAGTGAAGGTGAACGGTGGAGGATACGAAAAGAGTACTCGGCCATATCCTCGAGAAGAAGACGAGGAGGGCATGATCCGACAAGATTGAGTAAGGGCAGGAGTTGTGTTAGTGTGCCTGAATCCTCTGATATTTGATCAATCAGGCCTTATTATTATTATTATTATTTTATTAATCTTTGAGGAGGGTTGGAGGGGAGTTGTTTTGAATTCAAATACAAACATGTTATGAACTGTAATCGGACTTAAATTGTATATGTACTCACACTTACATTTTAATTCTAATTTTTTCTTTTCTTTTTCACTTTAGTATAAACTTACATATGAACAGTAGATGTTTTGGTCATGTTTGTCTAAGACGTGTTGTTAAGGGTCGCACGTTCATCCCGAACCTTCTTTACTTCATCTTTCTCATTATTCTTGTGTCAATACAAGGGTGTATGATCGGTTACTAAAATCATGTTTACAACCGTCAAAGCTAAAAATGATGTGACTAGTTGTCAATTTTTTCCACGGTTGTGTGCTATCAAAGTGGTCGTTGTTGGTTATTCGTTTTTGGCTTATAACATTGTTTTCTTCAAAATTGTTTTCAACGTATTTTTATGTTTTCTAAATTATTTCTCTTAAACGTGACTCGAGACTTGAACATACGTTAGTTAATCTTTTAACTTAAATCGTATTAGAAAAATAAGAAACTTGGGGGTTTTATATTTTCTTTCTTCTCCTTTCAAACAATTTTTATTATTGAATACATTAAGTTAGTATATATGTTTTTGCATCAACACCTCTAGAGAGGCGCTCTAGCCAAAACGAATCCTATTTCGACTATTATCTTCTCCATTACTATGTTCTCATACGCATGAATACTCGGTTAGCCGGTTTTTGTAGTAAATTCTATTTGTTTTTCGCCGCTTTGGGTTGTGAGGCTTACTTCCTAGCCCCAGTGGGAGTAGTAACTACGTTATAGGTTGTTGGGTGGCTGGAAGGTTGCCACGAGTAAGTAAGTCCGTTTGGGAGATCGAAGGCAGTTCTTCGTGCACTGGACACGTAGCTTACCGAATCAGTTGCGACACGGATGAAAATGCATGCTCCGAAAAATAGAGTCGAGTCTGATACATAAAACGTCTACTCAATATCCTTGTACGAGTCCACAATCACTACACGAGACAAACCTTGGTTCGATGAACTGAAGCTTGTCTTAGGTGTAATAGGACTCCCAGTTACTGCGCGCGATCCTATACTGAGGTGCTCCCTACCGGTTGTTGGAACAGCTCGAGTCGGGCCTCGATTCAGAAAGATTAAGGGCCAAACGAAAATAGGGGGTCACCAATTTCCCATCTCATTGGGGGCGGAAAACGAATCGACATCTCGATGTGAGACAACCTTTTCAATTTTAGTTGGGAAAGAACGACGAAGTCCATCCAAACCGTCCAATGAAGAATAAGAGGAGAACAAAGTACCAATCGCGCGCCGGAACGGACACGAATAAAAAAAGAAGTGTGGAGAAGAACTGAGCTCATTCCATTCACTTCCAGCCTGTCCTTTCTGGTTTATCTCACAATATTTATTCGCTACTCATGAATATAAATATAATATATATATATATTTACCATTTAAAATAATTTCTCTAATAATTTCTCTATGTCACTATAACGCGCTCATCCTCGCGCCAAAACTCTTAAACCCTAAACCCTAAACCCTTAGAACTCACCTCCAAGCTCACAGCTGTGAGTTGCCATGGCGTCCATGGCTTCCAAAGCGCATCCCCTTTTCTCCGCCATTCCACACTTCCTAACTTGGCGGAGCCTCGGCTTTCGCACCGTTTGTTGCGGCCGCATGGGCTTCGCTTCTCAATCTCAGCAGCAGCTTGATCCCTCCGATACAACCGTAGCCCGGTCCAAGGTTCTCGAATCCTTCAAAGAAGAATTCGAGATTGGATCGCGCTTGATTACGTTGGAAACTGGGAAGATCGCTCGGTTTGCTAATGGCGCGGCGGTTTTGGGCATGGAGGAGACTAAGGTTTTGTCCACCGTTACCTCTGCTAAGGGGGACGCTGTTTCTTCTGATTTTTTGCCTCTCACGGTATGTTTGTTCTTCAGTTTTTTTTCTTTTTTTTGAATTACTGTATTGATTTATTTGAAGAAAATGTTGAGCATTTCATGATCGGTAGGTGGATGAGAAACAGAGATAATTGATTTTAGCCGCTTATTCGTGAGATGAGCATCACAAGCACGAGTAGAATGTTGTATTGGAAACTTTTTTCAGTGCAAAATGTTGTTTTCTTCACGTTTCCGTTTGGCTTTTTCGATTTTTTGTTTGCATAATCTAGAGAAGTGGGGATTTGAGGATCCCTATGGTCTGGAGTATCAATTATAATTTCTAATCATATTTGTGGCACTGGCTCGTACCGAGGAAATAAACACTTGCGGTACTGCTGGTGCTGCAGTCCATTAGAAAGAAGTGCACAATCTCTATTTGGCCACATTTTCCTTTTGATGATATTCCGTTCTTTTAATGTACGTTGTTGGGTGTTCTTCCTACACCATTTACTAGTGTGTGTGTAATGGAGGAAGGTTTTGAGGATTTATTTCATCTTTTTAGGTGGATTATCAAGAGAAGCAATTTGCACAAGGTGTGATTCCAAGTACATTCATGAGGAGAGAGGGGGCTCCTAAAGAGCGTGAACTTTTATGTGGTCGCATTATAGATCGTCCGATTAGGCCATTATTTCCCGCTGGATTTTACCATGAGGTCCAGGTATGTATTTTGAGTTTAGGTTCTTATGTTCGTAATACTACTTCGGTTAATTATCACACGTTACGATCTTTGGCATGCCTCTTGTGTGACCCATTTTGTCTTAATGACTTTAACGTATGTTCCCTAATCAAAGGTAATGGCCAGCGTTCTTTCTTCCGATGGTAAACAAGATCCAGGTGTTATGGCAGCTAATGCAACATCCGCTGCTCTTATGTTATCGGATATACCCTGGGGTGGCCCCATAGGAGTGATTCGTATAGGAAGAGTTGATGGGCAGTTTGTTGTCAACCCGACTATGGATGAGGTAATCACAGTGGTGCTTGACTGCGCCCTCCACCCTCGTTATATTTTTTGCATGCATACAAACAAAGTTGTGTCCATTTGTGTTTTTTTTGGTTGCCTGATTGTTTTCTTTTCTCTGAACTTGCAAGTATACCAAATTGGTTTTCTTTTTTAAACAGGGAAGTTTTACTTCTGATTCAGTTTTTCTTCCACCACTTTCCATCATGAAGCTAAGAATTAAATTTTGCTTCTCCACGACTTTGAAAATTTAATTCTGTTTAATAGTGCTAATTGGCTTCTGGATTCTTATGTAGATTCCTTTTTAATATTGTGAATTCTCACCTTAACAGTTATCTTGTATTGAGACTCTCCCATGCAACCTTTCCATTCCTGTGCCAGTCTTGAAATAAAAAATCCAATTTTTTTCTTACAATGGTCCCTTTGGTTCAAACATTTTACGATATAATATCTAAGGTCATACTTTTCTGTGGTCTTAGCATGTGGTTCAGTTCAGTGTTTCTAGAAGGTGCTTCTAGACCCTTCACTCCCCTAATTCCCCAAGGAGACACGGCCACACTGTGCAAAAAGTTCTTCTTCTTAGTTATTATTATTTTTTTTTTTAATAAAAAGAAACATTAAAATAAGTTGCTTAATAGCCTATTAAACACTCTCCTTCAAAAAAAAAAAAAAAAAAAAATCACATTTCTTTAATTTTTAATAATTTCATTATAGAAAATTTTTAATTTTTAATAGCCTATTGTGTGCTTCATAAAAACAGCTTGAGAGTGCTATTGCAATTGAATTCACTCACATTATAGAAAACACTAGTTCAGTGCAGTTTGGGTCAAAAACTATGGAAAGGACAAAATAGTTGACTGTTATGTGTTCACCAACATAAAGACCGTGTAGTCAGATTTCTCCTATTTATGAGTGTATTACCTTTGGATATAATGCAGCTTAACTTGAGCGATCTCAACTTAGTATATGCCTGTACAAGGGAGAAAACTTTGATGATTGATGTCCAAGCACGTGAAATCACTGAAAAAGACCTTGAAGCTGGATTGAGGTTGGCACATCCTGAAGTGAGTGATGAGGATTTATCCTAATTCATTAAGACTTTTTGTACTGATTGTTTATTATACTAATATCACCGACTTTGATATTTTAGGCAGTTAAGTTTCTTGAACCTCAAATCAGACTGGCTGCTAAAGCTGGAAAGCTGAAGAAGGAATACAAGTTGTCCATGTTGTCGGAGAGTACAATGGAAAAAGTTACCAAGTTGGCCGAAGCCCCTATTGAAGCTGTTTTCACTGACCACTCTTATGGCAAGGTATTTACTAATTATTTGCAAGATGAATGTTTGATTTAATTATTTTTATAATCACTAATTGTATAGTTTTAATTTTTTTTTCTTATATTTAGTTCGAACGTGGAGAAGCCTTAGATAATATCACAAAAGATGTAAAGAAAGTGTTTGAAGAAGAATGCGATGAAGAAGGCTTGAAGGTTTTGCCAAAAGCAGTAGACAGCGTCAGGAAAAAGGTATGCATATGACAATACAATTATAAACGTTTGAAAGATGTTTCTCTTTTTCATATTATGCAAAATTGGAATTTGAGTCATAGTAGGTGAGAAATGCTTGAGTTTCTTTTAGTTAATAATACATTATTTTTTCTGTAAATTCTTTTTTAAAATAATTTTCGATTATTATAAAATTTTGACATCATATTATTATCTTTAAATTGTCGATTTGAAGCTTACTGTCTCCATATATTTCAAAGTTGGACAATTCAGTGAAATCCATGTAATTTGTCTATCTATCCAAATCACTATTTCCACAAATGTAGCTTTCTCTGGATGGATTTTGATTTTGGGATAAACGTAACTGGATGGGGACCTGGTTTTCAAATGAAGTACGAGGCACATGATTTTTTTATTTGGTCATAAAGTTTTGAATATATTCATCCTTATTCTCTCTAAGAAGTTTGACAATTTGTTAAATTTATGAAATATTAGGTTGTTCGCAGAAGGATTATTGCTGAAGGACTTAGAGTTGATGGTAGACGTCTTGATGAAGTTAGGCCGTTGTATTGTGAATCCAGATATTTACCTATACTACATGGGTCATCAATTTTTTCTCGAGGAGATACACAGGTCAGCTAAGGCAGTTCTTTCAGTAGTTTTTTGGCTAGTTATAATTAACCATTTTACCATCAAGTATCAGAATTCTTTGTTACATGTTACTT